TGTTTTGTGAATTCATATAAAAGAGGCTTAGTAAAACTTTATATAATTTAGGTATTAAATGACAATCCAAGGGCTAGCAATTAATCAAGCACACGGGCTGAAATCGCACCATAGAAATAGAGCAGCAGGGGTTCGACCGACCCTACCATAAAAGTAGTTGGTCTTTCTCAAAACTTGTCGGACAAAAATCCGAGAAGGAAGCAGCAACATCTATCAGCCAAGTTGATGCTACTCTTGAGTTGATCAACCAAAAGAAGAAAGTTAATGTTGATGTCACAATTAGTCAATTTAGAGTCAGAAATTCAAGAAATCGACGAAGTTTTGGAATCATTATTTAGGCATTTGGTGAAGACTAGATCAACTCTTCTCAATGTCTATAGTTATTAGATAGCAGAAATTTTTCCTGTACAAAAATTTTGATACGTGAATATACAATACAAATGAATATACATGATACTGATACAATTATCTCAAACTTTTGTTGTGTTAATCAAATTTATACTTTTCATTAGGCATTAGTCATACAAATTTTGAGATACAAGATTCACTCCGATCCACAAACAGAAAGCAGTAAATTTAATTTGTGATGTCTATTAATTATCAAAAAAATTCTCTGTTTTCTCAAAACAGAATGGAAGGAAGCTCGCAATACATACATTTCTTTGAGACTAATTTGACTTAGAAAGAAGCAAAGGGTTGGTCAATTGAAAGAATTGCCAAAACCGACTCTTGTGTACTCTTTTGCTCTTAAATTTGATCTATAAATTAAAAAAGGGGGGTATTTCTAATTAGATTGAAAACTAGATTTAAAGAGCTTTCTAACAAGTCGATCACACACCAATTAAATTTCAACGAATAACAAGGAAGTTATGACGTTTGAAGATATAAGTTATTAATTGCAAAATATACCCTGATCACCCGATCTGTTTGAAGATGAATTATTGTTTGCAGGAATTTGTTTTTGTTGTTATTATTTAACAAAGCAAATATGTGTTGACTTGGATCAGATAAATGTATGACTTCAGCAAAATCAAATCTATATCTAATACTAAAGTAATTAACGCTGACATCATCACTATCCATGTGTCAGTTTTGTTATAATAAATTTTTCCTCCAAAACTATTTTTGGCATCATTCTTTTCTTAAAAAAACTTTTTCAAGGTAAAGTTAATATTTGAAAATGATTGTGTACATTTTTCTAAAAACTTTAATAACTAAATTGACTAAATACACAATTTCTATTCCTATTGATTAAAAATAATTGACGATTGGTCTCTTTTACATTCTTTTTTTCCTCCAACATAGTTTCTTTTTTTTTTTTTTTTTTAAAAAAAAATCTTCTACATTTTATTAGTGATTGTAGAGTTTGGATTTTTCACTCTTTATTAATTCTTCAAATTTTCTATAATGAATAAAAAAAAAAACGCTAACATTTTAAAGTTTTTATTATAGCTATGAAGTTAATAAGAATATTAACATCATATCCTTCATTTTAACTCAATTAATCTAATGGGAGGGATTACGATTTGCTATGTTTTGCTTAAAATATTTATATTACACACTTTCAAGTAAATTTTTTATTATTTAAACCGTGCATCGCACGGGACTAACCTAGTGATAAATATATGAGGTTAGAAAGGATAATAGATTAGCTAATAAATATAAAATAAATACTACAAAACCTTATGACTTGAGTCACTTGACCTTATAAATTATAATAATATGATGTCACCATTGTAATGATTGAGTAAAATAAAATAAATATAAGTACAAGAAAAGAACATGTAAATAATGCTCAGTGAACATATTTATAGATCCTAGTGGAAGTATAATCAATTTTTTTTAATTTTTATAAAAAAAAAGTTTATAAGATTGTCAATTACTTTCTAAATCTACGATGACTTCATCATAATTCTATTACTTTTATGATTCTTCTTTGGTCCAAGAACAAGGATCTTGAACGCTTTTTAAAATTTATTCATTTTTTAATCTATAAATGTTTGATTCATGCTTAATGAAATAATTGATAGAAGGGAAACTAGGAAAATTATTCGCATAATCTGTAGTATATCTTCTTATAATATAATGAGCAATTACTAGGAAATTTATTCGCATAATCTGTAGTATATCTTCTTGTGATATAATGAGCAATTATATATTGAAGCTTGTAATCTTTACAAGTAAATGACAAATAAGGTTGACATATTGTGATCAATCCTATCATTTAGCCTTTTTTAAAAGACTTTTATAATATTACATTCACAAAAAAAAATTTAATAATTTTACGTGATCACTATACCAATCAAATTACGAAACAATTACATAAGGAGATTTAATTTATATGGAGTACTAATATTTTATAATTAGTCTTATATTGATGGAATTTCGCATTTATTTATGTACAAATTAATAATAATTTAATACTAGTATAGTCATATGTATACAAATTTGGTGTTGTATCCAACCGTACCTTAACACGTGCCACCTGTTAAGTTGTAGTCTTGTAGACTTCTGCTGAATGAAGAAAGATGCTCTTCTCAGGGGGTGTTCTAATTTTTGCTTATGATGATACTCCATCGGTTTATTTGAGTGTTAATGTAAAATTTTAAAAAGTAATATCTTTAATTAACAATAAGTATAAACCTTAAATTTAACATTTGAAAATAATACGTATATGTTTATAACAAGCTAAATATTCATATGAGTTATGAATATGTTTGATCTATAAAGATTAAACATTAATCAAAGCAAACTAAAATGGTATACGTAAATAGTGCAAAAGTCAAACTAAACACGTAAGGTGGGAGGGTGTGAAGAAAGTGAATACGTAGTATAATGTTAGTACAGGCCTATGAAATTATAATTTCAATCAACGCCACATCCGATACAATGATAAATCTAACATCCTAAAATTATCAACGCAATTTGCTTGACAAATACAATCTTTACCACTAATTGTACAAGGAGCAAAAGTCGATCATAGCCTCATATGAAGGCATCCTAAAATTATCATGAACGAACTCAGTTTGCTTCTCTAGAAGTTTTAAGAAACAGGATCATCAACTTCGGCCTGAAAATTATGAAAAGTGTGAAAACAATGAAAGCTAGATACTTGTATATTTTAACGAGGGACCAACTACCATACAAGTCGAGCAGCATTAGAGCTTTAGAGGGACAATGCGTGTTTATGTAATCAGAAACTTTCCATTTGTCGTCGTCTAAATTAGTAAATTGATAATGCATACTGATTGAATAACCCAGTTCTGCTGGTAAGTCTTAGTAGCTAATATACAATGAAATATGACTTGGTTTAGCTCATGAACAATCGATACACATATTGGTACGGATAAAATACGAGCATGAAAAGCGATAAATATGAAAATTTATACGAAACTCATGCTTGAGAAGCAAGTGTTTTGAGTGAACAGAGTTGTACAGATTATTTCTGAAACGTGAAGCTTGCAGTAGAGGCCCTTTTCTTTTCACTTCACCAAGGAATGATTTATGAACCATGAATTAGCCCCAAGTTTAGGCGTTTAGCATTCTAATGCTGAAGACAAAACAGACTATGAATGCATCCAAGTGATCCAACTGAGCCCTACACATCGAAGCAAATGAGCAGTCCTGCACAACAGCCTCCTGCCAGAGCTAAAACCCAAACGCGCACAGCAGTAAACCAATTGCTTACTACTGAACTGTTAGTAGGACTCTATTTGGGACCTGATGTTTTCTACTCAGAGATCAGTAGATAAGTTAATGTGTCTTTAACAATCCCCGGAGCTAATCATCCAAGGAAAATACCCCAGTTCAAGTTAAAAGGAATGCATGCCTTAGTTTAGTTCTCTTATATACTGGTACTAAATTGATGGCTGAGCAGAATAACTGTATTTCTTCCCCCTCTTCAGACACGACAGTTACTGATAGGATTGGATTTGTTAACCTAGTACATGTTTCTTCAATCTGGGCAAAATATACTATGTTTGAGACCAATATTATCCTCCATCATACTTTACTGTTGTAAGGTCTTAGTTCTTCTACACTTATAATTTTCTCTCTATTTTCCTCAGATTCCTGCCATATGATCCCAATGTAACAACCTTATTCAGAATTCACAGTTATGTCCTGCAAAATTTAATAGGTCCATGAGAGAACTTCACAACATTGAAAGGGTTTCCAGGTTACGTAGATGAGCCTCTGATTTGCACGCTACAATGGGAATAATTGTTAACAAAAAGAAAGATAAAACAGAAAATATACAGATACGGTATTCTGATATGAGTGATACACATTCACTCACCAACACTCGGTTAAGCATGATAAATCCCTAAATAGCAAATTTTTAGCAATGACGTGTAATAAATCATTTTGGTAATGATCTGATTACCTTCTCATTGAAAAGATTGAGCTGAGAAGTGCAGCTAGGTACTCTGAGTAGAGAACTATCCTCATAGCCCTATCACAAAACTCCAGGATTCTGCTAATACATTGAAGACAACAATTATAAGACTTCAGGTGGCTCAAATGGACCGAGATTCAAACAAATATCACAATTATCCAAATCAAGTTCATGTGGAGCTTCCAGAATAGTGATAGTTCTCTTCCCACGATTATGAGACAAGAATGAATCACAACACTAAGAATAGCGTACACGGGCCAAAAGGGGGTCAAAAATCTTATATTCTTGCGCACAATAGATTCCCCATTCTTCAAACTCAATGTTAAAACACCATCAAGAATAATTAGCAATCCTATGAAATTGGTACTGTAGTCCAAGTAACAAAAGAATTGGAATAGAAATTGTAACAGCATGAATAAATGTGTGAAGGTTTCCACATAAACTCTGGAAATACTCAGCTCAATCATGCTGTCCCATTTTAAGACCAAAGACATCAATCTCATCATCTTGGCCCATGAGCAGTAGTATTACTGAACATTGTGGCAGAAAGATAAATATATCAGCAAATGTAGTATAATCAAATGTGACAAACGAGTAATTTCAGACCAAACGCTCTGAAGATGCTCAGATAAACATTTCGCCTCTATCAGTAGCAGATAGTGTGCTTTGTTATAACAATATAAGTAAATAAATTTACAAACTAAACATGCATCAATAACACAGCCAAGCCAGGAAAACCATAAATTAGGAATACAATAATGCAGCCATACAGTACCTTTGCATTAATTATCAAAAAATGTGCCTTACAATAGTTTATACATCATGGGAATACATTTAATTAAATAAGAAAAAAAAAATTGATCTGTGTAACAGATAATAAATAAAAGTCCTGAGCTAAATACATTTAAGGATACATTTAAATAAGAAAAAAAAAATTTTGATACAATATCTGAAGAAGTCAAAATCAGGGATATAGGCTTATTTTTAATAACACAAACGATTCAAGTTCCACAGCACTACAGCAGCCACCTCTGGGCTCCAGCACTAAACTTATTCACATTTACGATTAAGGAGTCTGTATTCACGTCTTCAACAGGTAATAGGTATTCATTAATACATGCAAACCTTCATATGGGATAAAACATATAATAGGGTAGCTGATCTCATAAAAGAGGAAGGTTGTTCGCCACAAACTTAGCAAGAGGAGGCAACTGTGGACATGACTACTACACATGGGGGGTAAAAAAAGGTGTTTGTAAAACCCTTTTGAGGATGATAGCAGAAGCAGCAATTCTACTCCAGTAATACAGAATCTGCCAAAGCATATGCCCTTGTTCCTTGGCGTTGGCAGCAGCAGGATTGGTACTGATGTTATTATACTAAGCACAGTACCTATCAGCTTATGACCACAGGTCTACAAAGCATAAATGATCTTTTATAGCATAAAGGCATAAACCCAGACTCTGAACATATGCCACATAAGCTGACACTCCAGTGATTTTGGCCTCCAAGTCCCCTTCAATCTCAAAAGAAGGGTATAAGACATAGCTATTCATTCATTCATGCCGGCTGACCAAATTGAACCACTATTCTATCAAGAGCTGATACTTCAGTAATTTTCAGTTCATGTAATTATGCTCAACTACAAGAACAACTAGATCAAAAACTCATATATATACCAGTGAGGCAGGGTCAGGGAAGGCCCAGATGTACGCAGCCTCCTGCTTCTAGCCAAAGACTATTTGAGAAGCTCTTCGAGATAGACTTTTTGTAGGGAAGCTTATTTGCATCCTTGAGATCCATGAAGGAAATATAGCAATACCATTTCCTTCCCAATATAGTGTGACCTGATAGCAATGTTGTATAAGATCATCGTCCTTTTCCATATCCTGTTGAATTATCAGAAGTAAAATGTCCAATCTTCCATGTCTTTGTTTACCTAACTCGAAATAACAAAGATACTGGAACCAAACAGAGTCCCTTTTCCTTTAGACCTGCATAGCTGATATCTTTCCCAATATAACCCGAGTGTGGTACTTCTCCAGTCTGGTTAGAGGTATTTTGTTTTTCCTGCAGAAAAGCAATGCCAGAAAAATTTAATTAGTTAAGTGAATTATTAAAGAAGTGAAGAACGTCCACATTGATTGGCACAAATTCAGACCAATGCAGGCAATAAATTTGAAACAATTCCTAGATAGTTGTATTATACCTGAAAAAGGCTAAAAAAGTCATGCTTCCCTTGTTGCACTGGTGGTAAAATGTTCAAACCACCTGTCTCTTGTAATTTTATTTGCAATTGTTCCAAGTCTTGAGTCTGAATAACAAAAACATTGATATCGTATCAAGGGAAGTTGAAAAGAAACCTTAAGAAATAACAAGAAAACTTTACACTATGGCAACAAACTAATAATGGGTTTGCAGGTTTTAACATGAGAGCTACTCCTTACCTCAGAATTACAAACAGGAGATATTGCAGTGTCCTCCAGGTCAGGATCAATATAAGTTGTCAGCATCTTTCTCCTTTTAGCAACAGACCTAGCTGACGCAACATGATCATCATTATTCATGTTCATCTTTTTTACCAAAACAGCAGCACCAGAAAATATGGAAGAGTTTTCAGAACCAGAACAGGTGACAGTATCCTCCACATTACTGCTAGCTATGGAGTTGTCGAAGTATGAAGACCAACCGCTGTCTTCCGAAGAAACCTCAAGTCCATCACCAGAAAAATTAGATTTATTCTTGTGGTTTGTGGAGCTCATAGAATCCTCCATTGAATCACCAAGTACCAAAATAAAGCAGTTAGAAGGTTTTGAAGATTAATGCAAAAGCAGAGGGAAAAAAAAAAAAAAAAAGAGGCTTAAAAGGTTTTCAAGTTTGGCCTAAATGCTGAGGGATGAGTTCTTTTATAGAGGTATTTAATAAATTTTAGTTAGTTTTGCACCCAAAAATATATTCCACGTTTCATTTCTAGAGCTTGCCTTCCACTCAAACAAAATTAAGGCATGGAAAGTGGAAAGTCATCTAAAAAGACTTGGTAAAATATCATGACATCCACCCCATCACCAAGTCAATATCTCACGTGGGAAGCATATTCTACAAGATAACATTAACCCATGGAAACAAAATTTCAAATTATAAAATTTAAAATTATTAAACATAATATATCACAGTCCTAAGAAACACAGGTATTTGTCACATTATTTCAGAAAAATCCTTCAAAGATTTATAGTTAAACGATGTTTTTGTCAAGTTATTCGTCTAAAAAAGTTGATATTGTTAAACGGCTTTTCAGAAATTAATAGATGAAGAGCACATAAGAGGGACCATAGAATAAGTGAAAATAAGAATGCCAAGAAACAAGCTATATATACTTGATAATTTGACATCAAGCTGGTGAGATAACATCATTGACCATCAGAATATATCCGGTGCAACCTATAAACACCTTATGTGGCACAATTATTTACCTTTCAACAACCATAATGTAAAACACAGAACAAAAAAAATCTAGTAGTGGCATCTTACCCTCTACCAATGTATAGGACTATACGAGTGCACAAATGACTATGGCATCACTTATAAATTTAATATTGTATAAATTCTAATCAGTCATTCTAATTCTACTTCCTAGGTAAAAACCCATACTCAACAGTTATTCTATTGTTAAGCTGAACTAATTTAGTTGCCCTCAGCAGCCAGGTAGTTGTGCGCCTATTAGAGATGTCAAACCACATTATTTTTTGGCAACTCATAGAAAACATATTTGACCCCTATATTTGAAGAGGATAACTTCAGCAGGTGCAAATAAACGGCTATGTCTGAAAACTTGAAAAGTGTTTTGATAAGCATAATAGATAAACAATCTGAATTATTTAATAAGCATTTGGTATAATAGTGGCCATGAATCCTGATTAACTCTTATATTATTAATTTTTCAGATCCTCCAGATCTTTAGCAGAAGAGTTCAGCATAATTTAGGCGATATGCTTATCAGCTTCTAAGAAAATTCAAATATCCCATTTTGACCAACCCTATTAAAGTGCATATTAAAACATCCAGAATGATATAACATTTATTTTCAGCACGTAGTACGGTAGTAGTCGTGGAAAACCATGAATGCCAGAAATAAAGAGATGGAATACTAAGCTTGAGATAATTCTGAACTTGTTCAGCAAGGATAATAAACATTATACTAATCAAATTTGACCATAACATTTTAAGTGATCAATCTTCATTTGACTCATTATATATTAATTTGCTTATACTTTCTCAAAAGGTTCTTTATGTAGAAGAATTTTATTTAATATGGCCTAAATGATGAGGGCTGAAGCTGGTCCTAACAAACTCCTGATAATCAGAGACTGAAATGTTTGACAAAAAACGGCTTATTTCCTTGTAGCCACTGAACTACAACCATCCTAGTCTCTGTCCTACCAAGATTACTCGCTTACGACCATATCTAGCTAGATAATGGTGGTACACATCATTAGAGAGGCTCAATATTTCATTAACTATCAACTACTGTCAAACAATCACTTTGACTCATGGGAAACACAACAGAAGCATTGAAAGCAATAGCTTCAAGTTGAGTTAGAATCTTAATTTATGAATATTTAAATTAATTTTAAATCAAGGTAAGTTTTCTAATCACAAAGAAACAGATTATTTGTCAAACATAAGAGCAAAAAATTATTCTGAATCTGCATATTTGAATTGATTAATCCAAATACTACGAGATATGAAATTTACACAAAATCTTCATTTATATATAACAGAAAAGAAATCCATAATTTTGTTGCAACACATATCATCAGAGTTACAGTCAAAGATCATTTAAGAGGTCAAGTCCATATTCATATATTGGCAACCAGATTGACAGAGCCTCCAGATTTAGCCGCAAATTTTACTCTCTAATTGTCCAAATATTATCTTCTTCGAATTTTCACATATTCCAATTGACTAATCAATCATGCAACATTCACATATGATTCCCTTGAAGAAAGATTCCAAATACAATACAATTTCCTATGTGGATTTTCTTCCATTATTTTATAACATTCGCGCACGTTTCATTCCTCATGCCTGACTCTCCCACCTGTCGTTAACCTGCTTCTTGCTCATTCTATGTAAAGCCTTTATTAAATGTCTATGTTTGACCAGAAGGTACTACCTGATCCATGCCATGACAACTCTCACGTACAAATGATTTATTTTGAAGATTCTAACCATACTAATAAAAATAAAACAAAAACAAAATTTATATATAAATGCATAAGGTATGATAGGAGACTCACCTGCCGCCTACATTAGGAAATATGAGGACATCCTCTCTACTTAACGTAGAATTCCTTCGCATGTTTGAGGAACTGACAAATTAGTAAAAGCCACATAGAGGTATGTTCATGGTTGTCAATAATCCACAACATGGGGAAGTGAAATTGAACTCCTTGGTGGGCTTCCAATCAAGCAGTAGGATTGCTTTCATACTCAGTATACTACATCGTGCTGTCTTGCTTATATTTTTACTTTGCGTCCAAGGAATGTATACCTTGTAGAGAGTCATTCAAGGGATGACATCATTTCTTGATGACAAAGCGCATCAACATTCCCACGCGTGCATATATGCAGATGTTTCTGTAGCATAGGACAGCAGATTGTATACTGATCAACTGAAAAAAAAAAAAAAAAAAAAAAAAAAAACAATATATTGTGAGGAAAATACGAACCAACATAGCTTGTTCAGCATGGATAGCAGAGAATATTCCTAAACCCCCCCCCCCCCACCAGCGCTTGCGCGCCTCTCTCCCAATTGGGTTCCTTACTTTCAACAGACAAATCTTCCAAGCATTTAAATTAAACTAGATAGAGCCGTAAAAGGGTAAGACAGCAGACTGTGGCAAAACAAAAAATACATCATTAGACTAATAATCTCTTATGTTGAGGGTAAAATGAATAACTACGTGCACCAAAAAAGTCATTGATGTCAAGAACTGAAGGTGAATGACTTTGTTGTACAGAATAGATGATGGCTGTTTCTTTGGGACACAGGAATTCTTCAAACATAAATTGACAAAATATATCCCAGATAATCTCTTGGCTTAAGAGCTACAGTGATCAAAACAAAGTACAAGTGTTTTGAGTAACTGATAACTGATAAGATGTGTCCCGGATTTGGGATAGTCCTCTAGTGGCTCCAATCCCTCATTATTTAATATAATATCAGTCAAACTAACTGGGACTATTTACATATAATGAACGGAGAGAGAGAGGAAAAAAGTTTCAAAAATCAGCTAAAATTAATATTGTTGCAGCAGTCATCACCATTTGTCTTTGTCAAGGTATGTATGTAATAGCGTAACGTACACCTCATATAGTCAATATTTTAGTGTAAAATTGAATTTCATGTTTCAAAAGACGAAAATCTTCGTTAGAAAGAGATCAATAGTATGTAAAATTAAACAATATAACATGAGGCGTGCATAAGATAAGATATTAAAATAGTGGAGAGCTCAACAAGCCTGGTACACATTTAATTTAATATTCTACTATTGATTGAAAAAAATTAATGTCCTAATTCTCCTAAAGACTACCATATGCTTTAAAGAATTAAAAAAATCAAAAGATTTTGGAAGCAGATGTAGCTTTTGGAATCTGTGATCAGTCACACAAATCATAAGAGAGATTGAAATTCAACCAAAATTTGAAACATTAAAAAATTGGGTTATATTATCAACCTTGGCCTCAATGTATAGAACTGCCAAGAATACTCGCATAGTTTGACTGTTAATTTTCTTAGAATAAACATATTGTAATTTAAGAAAGTATCTTTTTTTAATACCAATACTACTTGACTCAAAGCATATAACAGCCAGCAATAAATATTCGAACTCAAAAGCATGTCTTAGCATTATGAAACAGATGGAGTATTTGATTATTACAGAGAGCTCACAAGTAATAGACAAAATAGCCCACAATATGAAAGTAATCAACATGATCTAAAAAAATTGTATGACAATAGAAACAGTCTACCAATGGAGGTTTTAACTTACAAAGCATTATTCAGTCAATTACCTCTAAAAACAACATATTGTGAATTTGTGATAAAATTTGACAGCTCCTACACATTCTAAATTAGTATTACTAGACACTATAGACCACAGCAGCTATTAAAATCACTTTAATCTTACTATAATCCTGTAATAGAAAAATCAATCAACATTTCACTACATTTCACTATTTAGAGTACATGAGATGACTAATATACTGAGATCAGAATTATTCATTTCCTATAATTAAGTTATAGGCTTATAGCCATTGTTGAGTTTCCACTGTAAAGACCCAAAATCAAACAAAACCTGGAAAATTAAATGCACCTACAACTTCATCACCATCACAACCCAATCTATTGATGGAATGATGAGCGGCTAAATGTATTAGTTCAAGTTCACCCCTAAAGTAACTACATTACTTACTCCATCCCAAAATACTCTTCACGCTTTCCTTTGTTATCCGCCACAAAATACTCCTTGACCCTTCTAGTTTAGAAACAACATACTAATTGTAATATTCCTCCTTTCTCATTGCTAAAAAAAAAATTAAAAAAATTAAGGACCCGCAAACTCTCTCATTCAACAAAATAAAGTATTCCACCACCAATGAGACTAGGTTTATATTAACCATGACACAACTCTACTCTACATTGGCCTACTCCACTCCTTAGAACTAAAGGACCAAGCCGGGAGCAGAAAGAGGGATTTGATCCGCCAACCTCACCCTTGTTAAGGCTATGCGCCTATGCTATACCACTAAGCTACTTCCGCCAACCTATGCGGCACAGAAACAACTCGGGTTTCAGAAATGAACAGCTAAGTCTCAACCACTTCTATGAATTATAATCACGAAAACAATTGAGGTTTCAAAAACGGCGAAACCTCAGGTCTTATAAGGTCCCGTGCTTCCTAACCGCCAGCTACCTAAGCAATTCAAGTATCCTCTAAATCGCAACCGGATAAACGTATGCAAATCAACCTCTAATCATGCTACATTACAAAAGAGACTAATTTATAGTCCCCCATTATCAAATCACCATACACTTTGAGGATCCAATATTTAAATAGGCTTGGGACAGAATGATACTTCCAAGAACCAAAAATCAAGATTTAATACATTAAAAAAAAACGCAGTAGTTTCTTGTGTTCTCTAGTTGATTATCATACTGTAGTTTCTAATCTTCTTTCGAAGTACACAATTACATGCAATTAATTAAAGGCTATGGAAATCAGAAATGCTCAATTTCATCAAATTAAATTAATATGAACAAAATTTTATTATTGCAATGCAGTAATGCACAATTGTTAGGGTTTTGAAAAAAATCAGGCAAATACTAATGTGAATAATTTTGGGCGCGTACCTTGATCATAGACAACTAGGGAACAAACTGAAAACTCTTACTGGATATATAATTTATATTTACTGAGCATTTTGATGAAAATTTCATAAAGAATTTCAGACAAAGGGCCGAAAGAGGTTTTTACCTTCTCAAAAATGCTTTCACTTGTTTCAATTTTTTTTGGGGGGGTCAAATTTTCGACCTTATTAATCAATACGGTAAGAAATTATAAAGTGCATGTTAGATTTTATTTGGGTTTGTTACCACGCAAATTTAATTAATATCAACTTTTTATAATAATTACGTGTATGATAATGTATATATTTAGGTTTAAAATAGGTCTTGACTCTCCTTAACTTCGTAAATATGTAACAATTTTTAAGCGATGAGGGAGTATTGGAGTAGAAATTAGACATATGTCTGTCACACCATAATTGACCAATGTAAAATAAAATGCAGAAAAAGTAAACGATATTAAGTAAATGTTAAACTTATTCTGTATACATAAAACATGAACTGAAAATCCCTCAATTAACCCAACGCTGTCTATTAAATTTGAGTGTTAATAAAAGGTTATCAGTCTAACCTCAAGTGTTTATAATCTGTACATACGCAGCTAGGATAGGCTGAGTTTGAAGGGCGCATAATGTTGAAACCTGAAGGTGTTCATTGCATGGCCATATTCACAGGCATTGCTCTGTACAAATTTCCTCTAATGCTGATGGCTCATCGTACACAATAATTACGTACTTGAATCAGCAAAACATAATCAAAGATTTTACATATATTTCCTCTTTGGAGGGTGTTTTATTGCAAAGTGCAGACAGACTGAAATACAAGTCAAGTCTTGAATTCAGGTTTTATTGTCCAGTAGCAAGAAATAAAGTAGAGATTCATTGAATATAGCAAAAAGAGATTCTATGTTGTACAACTACTTGAGAGTTCCGAAGCTGTCCTCTGCAAAGTGCACTCCAAATAAGTTGCAACAACTGATCACTTCAGCCCAGAGCAAAGCTTGAAGATAAGCCAGAGTATTGGTCTGAAGAGCGGCAGCATAACATGAGGATGAGAGGCAATCAAATCCTGAGCTTGGCAGATGGAAATGGAATGCAAAACAAAAATAAGTCCCATAACGCCTCATCTGGATAGGAAAGTACATGCAAGGGATCGATGCACAACCTTTACCTTCACCCACGATCTTACTCTCGAAATAACTTTGAAACAGTTGAGTAGGCATTATGACACAAAATTACAGCTTTCATCGAACCCAAGAGGCAAGAGAGAGATTCTACTCAGGTCACAATTTCAGCAAAAAGTATAAACAGAAACAAATTCAATATCTTTTGTTGCAGATTTTGCATCAATCATCTGTTTGGAAGGATGTCTGAGAATGCAAAATCATGAAATGGGGGGCCTGAAAAGAAACATTAATTTGAGTCAGCCACCTAGCTCTACATAAGTTGTTCATATTCAAACAAAGCAAACTGGGTAAAGGTATAATCCAAACGCAATTCACATAGAAAAAGTATATTTATATTTATCAAATTTAAAAGGATGTGAACCCACAGGAGTCAGGCCACACCAGCTGAAACAACGAGTACAATAAAACATGGATTTGATCCAATAGTAACAGTGTAATCAGGAACAGAAAAATACCTTACACAACTACCAAATTTCAACAAGTAACTAACCTGCTTGTCCAGCCAAGATATAAAATGGGACATGAGCAATCATTTTAGTCCCACCATCACTCCAGTTCACAGTTCCTGGATATTTCTCTCCCCGGGGATGTCGTGACGATCCCAACACAGACATACATATTGCAGGCTCATTCAGTAAACCCAAACAATCACGAGCCCTTGTCCAAACCCTTGCATCAGATAATCGAGACCGAACTACCTGAGATTTTAATACTCAGTTAGCCATGGACTTAGCCTAAACCAATTTAATTCTAGGCAGGTATTTCACAAAACATTGTACAGTGACAACACTTCAGAATCCCTCCCTGTTCTCTTCAGTTGGGAATGCTTAAAAATACTCCCTTATCCCCAAAACTCAAATCAAATGACGGTCCTAGGTAAAGCCAGACAAGGTCATGAGAGACATCATTATAATAACAAGAAGCTGACGGATATCGCAAGATCCAGTAGGAAATCCAAGATTAATTATAAATTTCAAATGAAATTCAAACCTTTGCTAAGGATACACGAGCCCTAGGTAGTAATTCACGGTGATAAGTAGCAAGTTTGGCAATAGCTGTTATAACAAAGCAAAGAAGTCTGGACTGTCCCGCCTTCTCAGAGCCTGTGCTAGTGGTGCCTTGTCTTAGACCAAGACGGCTTCAAAAATTAAAGCAAAATACAATCAACAAAGACACCAAAAATTTATTCTTTAACAAGAAGTACTATTGAACTTACCTAGATGAGAGGTTCTCGTATAAAAGTAACTCCAAACTTTCAAAAAGTTCACGAGCAGCATCTTTGTGAGATTCACCGCCCCCTCCATGCTCTCCAATAGCCCAACAAAGTTGTAAAGCCAACTCTGTCTACCAAAGAAAATACATTCAAATCTCAGAATACATTTACCAAATACATCGACATTCTAAAATTAAACGTGATTGTTCAACCTTCTCTTGGCTGTCATAAGCTTCACTAAGTCTGTCCACGATAGGTTTCTGCAGAGCATTAGAAAGCCATAAATTCTTAGGAAACAAGTTTTAAAATTGAAAGAATGAAAGATGATTTCATCTTCAAGTTTAAGCACACAGCACAATTATGAAATATGACACATATACAGCCACTAAGGTACCTTCAGAAGTGAGATAAAATCTGGTGATCGC